TTTTCGACCGGAACACGTGTGTCGGAAACATTTGTAAAGAAAGTTAATGGTCATTTTGTGACGGGGCTTTGTCCCGTTCACATCCGGTTCTCGTTCTTGAGTATTTGCCTGTAAAACAGCCGAGATATGTCATTTTATTTTATAACAAGGCTCCCCCAGATCTCGGTCTGATTTACAGTGAGCGTTATTCGTGTATATTTGGGTGATTAAGTCACGATAAAATCTCTGAAGCGTGTGGGAAGTTGTCCTCGTGTTCTTGTTGGCATTTGTTTTGGCATTGGGTTATTTGCTGAATTATGTGTCCCCGAGGGATGTGGAGGAGAATGATCCTGGTGACTGTTACATGGTGGAGGCAGAGGGATTGTATTAGAAAGATGTGTTGGGCGTGGAGCCAGTCGTCGGATATGTGCACGGTGAATCCAGATTGTATCACCATCATCGTTTTGCACCTGACACATCATATTGTTCGTTTTTATAATTGTGTAATTTCCTATCCAGGGCAGATGAGAGGATTGGGCAACAGTTGAGTGTGGCCGATGAAGTAAAACCTTGTCGCCTACCTGTATTGGGTCCTTGTATGTGAGGCGATTTAAGTTAGTCTCAAGTTTGTGGTCAGCTTCATCGTTGGCCAGGGTGACGTGGTGGTGAACCTGCTTTAGCAGGGCATTAATTTGCATTCCTTTTGCTCCAGGATCGTCGCTTGTGATTTCTTTTCTGTGTAGTGTAGGTAGGCCAATGTTGGGGTGACGGCCGGTAATGGCATAGTGCGGGGAGACACCGGTGGCGCTGTTGGTCGTGGCATTCATGGACGAAACGACAGATTCTAGAACGTTCTGTCCATTCACAGTTTCTGTCTTCGCATAACATATAAAGTGCGTTCTTCATCGTGCGATGTTGTCTCTCGATATTTCCTGAGCTTTGCGGGCGCCAAGGACAGTGAAGTTCTTGCGTGATTGACATCTGGTTACAGAATTGTCGATAGACTTCTCCAGTGAAGTGTGTGCCTCGATCAGAGGATACTATGCGTAGAATCTCTCTGTGTCGAAGGAAGAAATGGTACAATCCGCGGGCGGCGTCAATAGCACGGTCTCTCGCGCATGGTATGGCTGTAAAATGTCGGCTGAAGCTATCCAAGATGGTTAGGATGTAGCGTTTTCCCTTTGAGTTGGGCATTGTGACAAAGTCTATAAAGACGAGATCGAATAGTCTCTTTCCTCGTTTGCAGTGGCCAATGGGCCAGTGGGTACGTCTACCGTAGTTTCCCTTGCACTTAGCACACGTGTCGCAAGAATCGACATAGGCCTTGATGTCGCGGTTTTTGAATTCCCACCAGTAGCTGGAAAGGAGTTCTCGCATACGGGTGACACCTGAGTGGTTGTTTCCCTCGTGTGCCTGGTAGAGGTATCTGGGTCGTAGTTTGTATGGTACAACCAATCTCGGAGAGTGTTTACTGTCTCTTATCATCAAAACGGAGGTGCCTGGTTCTAGAAAAAAAATTGGTGGAAATGTTTTTGAAAAGCGTAGCTCGGTGGTCGTCAGGATCGAAATGAGGTTCGCTTGGAGTGGGTGACTGGAGGGCGCTGATGATCTTTGCCAGGGCGTCGTCCTTCAGTTGTTCATCTGCGATGCCGAGGTGGTTGCAGATTCTCTCAGTGGGGATGGTGGTGGTGGGTGATAGGCGAAGAATGCGTTGGTGACGCGCTTGTGGGTGCGGGCGTTTTGTGGTGTGTGAGTTTTGGGAATGAGCTGTAAATCGTTAAACTCGCCGAGGCACCAAGATAGGATGTATACGCGGAGGTCTGAACCGCTTACCTCGAATGTCTTGCCTGCCGGTGTAGGGTCGTTCGGGGCTTTCGTTTTTCTTATGTCCGCAGCTTCTGCTGAGCATGTCAGCCCATACATTTGATTCGCCTTCACCATATTCCAAGACGAATTCATAACATGAAATTTCTTCTTGCCATCGTCGTATTTTGGCATTATTGAACTCTCGTTGGTCCAGATATGTCAGCGATCTGTGGTCGGTGAAGATGACGAAGGGCGGTTGCGGAGGAAATAATCAAATTTCAATATTGCCCACTTTATTGCATATGCCTCTCTTTCCGTCGTGGACCAGTTCTGTTCCGTGGAGTTGAATGTATGGGAAGCGACCGCTATGATATCTTTCTTCCCGTTGTCGGCTTCTTGCATTAAGATTGCTCCACATGCGGCGTCGCTGGCGTTGGTGGTGAGTGTGAAAAGTTTGGAGAAATCTGGAAACGAGATGACGGGTGGTGAAGAGAGACGGTTCTTGATTTTTTTGAAGGCTCTGTCGGCATTTTGTGTCCAAACAAACGGTTTATTAACCTTGTTGAGTTCGTGTATGGGACCCATAAGTTTTGAAAACATATCTGACCTGATTTGTTCGTAAAGACGTATCTCTAGGAATTGTCTGATCCACACTAAACGGCCGATAAGGCTTTGTAATTCCTTTTTTGATGTTGGAGGTTTCATTTCCTGGATGGCACGAACGTATTCTGGATCAGCCTTGAATCCTTCGCTGTTTACTATGCGTCCGAGGAATTTTGCCTCTGATGCGAGGAAGGAACATTTATCGGGATTCAGCTTGAGTCCGAATTTTCGGAGGGCAGTAAAAACCCTAAATGTCCTAGCGTGGACCAGGTTGTCGTCGATATAGGAGGAAATGTTGTCACGGGATGTGACCGTGGCTAGTGCTTCTGCTATGCAACGGGAGAAGATTTGTCCGGCAGATGTAAGACCGAAGGCCAGGCGCGTGTATTTATAGCATTGGTCCTTCCATGTAAATGCTGTTTTGTATCGGTCTCGCTTGTCGATCTCAATTTGCCAGTAGCCGCTGCGTAGATCGAGGGTAGTAAAATATCTATTGCCTTTGCCGATTTTGCTGAACAAGTGGTCGATCCTTGGCATTGGGTAAGGGTCAAGATCGACTAAGACCTTGTTGAGAGTTCTTTTAAAGTTAGCAACGACATGAATCGATCCGTTTTTTGGTGTCAGGAGTGGGATACGAACCCACGCCCACACAACAAGAGAAATATGGCCGACTACACGAGCTTCACCCGAGCCGAACTATTTACTCTCATCAATGAACAGAAAACATTAGTATTCAACTTGAAAACGGGACCAACACAGCCTTCCGAAGCCACGATACAGGAAATTCAAGCCGACATAAACGACATGCTGACTGCCCTAAAATCAACTGCTTCAACACCTCCCACCGCTCAAACAAACGGCGATTACAGCTTAATGATGCGCCAACAAACTATACGCGACACATTGAAGCTAGAGAAAACTTTTCACCCTGGACACGACGTGAACCGATTCATCACGGCCCTAAACAAAGCATACACAATCCACGTCACGCCAGAACTCAGCACCTATCCCACTCCTGACACCAGTGTTATAGACAAGCGTATGGTTGCAAGAAAGAAATACGACAACAGTAGAAATAGATTTACGTGGTTTATTTCAACAGGAACGTAAGGGTTTAGGACAGCTACCTTGGTGTGGTAAAGTTCATAAGCCGGCTTTCGGATCTAGGTCGATCTCTCATAGTAGTTCACACATGTTGACGGTGGTTGACGCTCTCCTGCTGACAGCTGCTAAACGTGACCGGTCTCCTTTGTGGGCCACCTGTTGACTGCCTGTTGAACTTCCGTGTTATAGCGTTTTTTATGGCTTAACAGGCTCGAGAAACGAAGCGAGTATAATTAGGAGGGAAGCATTTTTATTGGACGAAAAATAGAGCACTTTAATTATTATTTTATTTTTCGACCGGAACACGTGTGTCGGAAACATTTGTAAAGAAAGTTAATGGTCATTTTGTGACGGGGCTTTGTCCCGTTCACATCCGGTTCTCGCTCTTGAGTATTTGCCTGTAAAACCCTAACCCTAACCCTGCCGAGATATGTCATTTTATTTTATAACAGCAGATACGAGTTTGTTTTTTCTCTTTCTTCCTTGATTTCTCTCGCTACAAGATGTAGTTGTAAAAAGGATTCGTGTTTTGCTTTTGACCATGTGCGGTCAGACGCTTATAAAAACATTCATGCATGCACGTACGTACGAAATTTTCCAAACTGCATTACAAACATAGGAAATATTTCCAAACCAGCAACAAGAACTTTTTCTCTTTGAAATACTTTTCTAAAGCTAAAAGTTTATTTAGCATTTCTCAGCTTTCAACTTTCGTGAGCTCAGATAAAAATATTTCAATTTCATTAGTAAAAACTTTAAATCAGTCAAAGGGACATAACACCAACAAAATAGTGACCTCTTCTTGTGTACATCACTATACAAATATGAATCTTCTTGTTGTTAAAACTGTTTGTGTTCCTTCTTGTTGTTTAATTTTGTGGTATTTTGCGTTAAATATAAATCGAGAGGTCATATCAACTAACACAACCTCTACATGCTAATTGTCTAGCATTTTATTAGGGTGATGGAATATGACTGATAATTTGTTTATTGCTTACAGCCCTTTAAGAGCTGTCACATTATTAGCTATCATATATTTTATGTTGTTAAACAGTTAAAAACTAGTGTCTTATTCTAGAGAACAAGTGACAGCAAGCTTCTTTATTCAAATTCTATTCTTATTGCTATTATTATTATTACTACTACTACTACTATTTTATATGTATCTATATTTATATATTTTTTAACATAAATTTGGGGTCCCATAAATTCACCAACGGGTAATTCATTCACTAGGCCGACTACGAATGCTTGTTGACGAAATTGGCGAAATTAGTACTTATAAATATATTTGGAGAAATTGTTCCTAATGGGTTTATGCTTAGCGAAACGTCACCGAAAAAAATTCCACGCAGATTGAACAAAGAAAATCACTGCAGTTTAAATTCTGCGATTATCGTGGTGGCCACTATAAATAGGAGAAGTTGTCTAAATTGTTTTCCTATCAACCACTTTTCTTTGATTCTCTTACCAAATGCCGGCATTGTCAACAAATCTACGTAGGGAGCATGAGTCGTGGTGATCGGTTGTTCAAGCCAAGGTCAGGGGACCTTGGTTAGAACCATTGATAACCACTTCAGGTCACCTGTTGCGTGTGCCTCCCTCAGTGTAGAGATGGACGAGCCAGTTTGCATACTTATGAAAAATAGAAATTCAGCGTCTGGGTGTTTGGCGCCGACTGTCTTCAATAGATTGGAGAAAATTACTGACCAATTCTTTCAATCGGCCACAAATCACTGATTGCTTATGTCTCTATTTGGGTACATTATTTTTATGTTTATTTTTTTTTCAAACTGATCTCTGTATGTGTCCTTATTTTGCTTGATCTTTGCAGATGTGAATGTAATTAAAAAAAGCTAAATGAAAAAGAAAACACAGAGTGAAACTGAAAAGTACTGAAGATCAAATCTTATCAAAATCAAATACTGATCAGTTTCACACATTTTTTAAGCTTAGAAAAGTGGTGGGGGCAACGGAGGGGGCCAGCCAAAATTAGGGAGGGGTGGCATTGGCCCTTTCTGACCAATCACTGCCTTCCCACTTTTCATTAACTCATGGGGAGAAGTTCGCGAATGTTTTTACAGTTTGAGTTATATAAAGAAAAATCCCTGAAAATGTTCAGTAAAAAAAAAAAAAATGTTTTTATCAATTTTCTTTCACTTTTTTGTAGCACTTTTAGTTTAATAAATTTTAAAAGAATAACTGAAAAAGACCTAATTAACCATTTTAAGACCTCAAACAGACAAGAAAATAATAAAAAAAATAAAAGCAATGCATTTAAGCAACATTTCATTAGTTTTTAATTAATTTCTTTTTACTTATAAAAATTTAAATGTAGTAAAAAATAAAATTCATTCTACTAAGTTTCATAAAACTAAAAGGGTATAGGATGAAAAATTATATTTTAAAATAATTTTGTTATATAAGGTTGAAGGTAATTTATTTTTAAGTATGGACATAACTAATTTCTGAATTGTACTTTTGATCGTCCGTACTTTTTAAAATTTGGTGATGGTAGAAAACAACTACTGTTTTTTTTTTTGTTTGTTTAGTGTTTGATGACTGCTCATGGGCTATTCATTGTGCGTAAATAAAAATGTTATTTTCGATATATTTTAAGCAAAAAGTAAGCGTTACAATACATTTACTTACAAAAGTTAATTAATCCTTAAATTTACTAATTTATTTTGAAACAAATCTTTGAGGCAAATATTGGATTTTTAAGTCTTTTTAAATTTGTTGTTTTCTTTTCGTCTTGTGTTTGAGTGACGTGCCAATGTTTTAGATTTTAGAATTATTTACATACATAAATTAATTTCTTTCTTTACGGATTAACTTTAGGTTATTATTACCTTTCAAATAAAAATAAAAAGAAAATTTAACTTCAATGAGGATATTTTTTCAAATTATTTGAAAAGCGTTTTTCTTATTATTGTTTTTAGAACTTCCATGTGTTATTTTGACACACAGCCAACAGGTTGTTGAATATAGACACTGAAGAAGATGTATTATTAAGATAATTTTTAAAAATACCTAAATTAGGTATTAGTAATTAATCTGAAATGTAAAAGATTATTTATTATTATAAATAATTTTCTCAGAGAAATGCAATTAAAATCATTACGATAAAAATGAATCAAAATACGTGTGGAACCAAAACTGAAAAGAAAATTATATTTTTGCTTTTCTTTTAGTTCTCAACAAAAACAAATAAATATATTTTTTATGATTTATTAGTCATCTTATTTTTTAAATATCTTGCTTTTTTTACTTCATTTTTCATTTTTAATTAATACACTCCAATATATGTTGAAAATTTTCCAATTGACAACTTTCATATACTTTTTGTTTCGTTTCGGTCACTCCGGTTCGACATTTAAATGAATCTATCGCGCCATTTTCAACATGAAGTTTTCAAAACGTGAGCGGAACTTTGTTGAATAGAATAATTTTTTATTGTGTCTTAAAATTTCTCAGAATATTGCACGTTTTTGTCTTCTCTCCCCAATTTTTTAATAGTATCCAGACTTATATAATTTAGTATTTCTGTAATAATTTTTTTGTTTTTCAAAAAGACTGAATGTACACAACACTCGAAGTCAAAACAAATGATTTAGTAATCGTAAAGAAGGTAAGTTAAAGTAGTTATTAAAACCATCATTTGAGATTCATTATTGTTTAAAAAAAAAATGAATAACAAATTCTTCTTATTGAATGATGACTTTTTCTGATCTAGACAGTGTATTGTAGAAGCTGATGAATATAAAAATCTGAACTCTTTCCTCTTTGCAATATTTTTTTTTTTTTTTATTAGCAGCTAAAAAGTAATTTTCATTTCACTTAAATTTTTTAGAATCAACATACAATCAATTGAAATTTTAATTTGTTCATTTAAAAATTGATGTAAGGGATATTTTATATATTGTACAGTGTGGTCCGAAAGTATTGTCACCCCTAACTCTCTTTCAAACTGCAAAAGAAAATTGGGGTGGCAAGATTTTCAGACTGTACAGTCTCGCTAGTGTTTTTGTTTAATGAACTGGCTTGGTTGGTCACAGGTGGGAAAGACACGTCGGTTAAAATAAATGACTCGTTCTGTGGAGGAGGGGCGTATTCGACATTTGGTAATTTTGCGGCCATACGCGCTTCAAGGTTTTGTGCAGTTTTGATCAGCATTCTTTTTTATGGTCAGCCGTAAGGAATCGTAAATGAAGGACAACCTTACGCTTAAGTAAAAATAATAATTACTAAGAATTTATTACAGGAAATATCCAGTTTACGGAAACATCGTATTTAGTTACATAATTATGTATTTAGTAAATAAAACTAAGCTATATTCGATTTATTAGGTATTTTTCATTTGCTCATTTGTTATTGACAGTATTGGTTGCGATGTTAAGCTTCCTAAGTTGAACAAACTGGAGCTATTTTGTTTTATGCTTTGTTATGTTAACTCTCTTTTTCGTTGTTTTTAGATCGCTTTTTTCCAATCATTTTAATGGGCAATAGCGAAATTCTGAGATTCAGAATGATTCTTCTTATTTCATTTGAAAAATAAAGCTTGTAAAAAGGAATATTTTAAACATACGACCAAAAATAAAATGCTTTTGATTTGACAAAAACCTTAATGATTTCACTATTATTATGTAACAAAGTAACATTGTATTCCGCAGACAAATTCTACGGGGTTTTTGTGCTACGTTGTTAATTGCATGGTTACGAACTATAAACCAAAATTGAGCTTGAGATATGTAATCGGCTTTTGTGAAATACTTGTAATAATTTGCAGTATAAAAATCAATTTTCGATTTTTTTTTTTTTTTTTTTTTTTTTTTGTTAAATACGCCCTCCACCTCCTCCAACGCGTCAATTAATTGTAACATTGTATTGATATTGACGTGGAAAGTGGGTATTAAATTTTTAATTTATATAACTCACACTCGCTTTAAGACTTGCATATCTCCGGCAGATTCGCTAAAAAATGAGCATACTTGATGAAAAAATGTCCCAAACAAACTTAAAAACAGAAAACTAAAGAAAGTTTTGCCGTCAAAATCTTTATATTCGCAATTTAGAGGAAATACCAAAGGATATTTATTTATTTAGCTTATTAATTTTTCTTTCTATTTTTTGGGTTGGAAATTTTTGGCCAAAATCAAATAATTGTCGGATTTTAATGAAATTTTCAAAACTTCTTTACCAATGAATTAAATCATTTTGGAAACGTGCCTTTTTTTAAGAAAATCTTTGTAAAATTGTAAAATATCTTTCTTTTTTTTTTACATGTTACCCCTCTCCCGCACTTATTTAATTTTATAAAATTAAAAAGAATTAATTTTTGTAGAGCTTTAATGTTTACATTAGTTATAAGGACAAATCCTCGGAGAATTTAAATCATCAATTATTTATTTATATTTTTGTCAAGCAGGATCCACAGTTACAATTTGTTATATTCTGTGCTAATAGGAATATATACTTGAAAAACACAGTGGATAAAATAAGTAAAGGTTTATTGTAAAAACCAGTTTAATACGAATAAAGATAACACTAACAGTTATGAACAAGGTCGTCACAAATCAATCCAGTAGTGAGTGCTACTATTGGAAGGTCGGTAGTTCTCATGTAAGTCTGAACCGTACTCAACAGATCTCAGTTAGACAATATTTACCAGCCTCCCCACAAGGTAGGATGTGGCAGAAGGTCGAATTTAATGTGGGGCAATCCAAGCCCATAGGCTCAACCAAAAATTCCCCCTAACCCTGCATAAACATGTTCAGGTCTGTCTATGTCCCCAGACAAGACTGCCCTTCAGAATAGCCCCGTCCAGGTTCCTCTCTGCCCAAAGGCAGAGAGTTCAACACCAGCTAAGATCTGAGTAACAGATCCCAGCTAGTATATTTACTAACCTCCCCATGCGATTTATGTGTGGTATCCGAGCGTGTAGGCTCAGCCAAAAATTCCCCGTAGAACCTGTATAAAACAGGGTTGGGTAGCTGTTTCCTGAGACAAGACTCTGCCCTTTGACATAGCCTCGTCTGGGGATCCTGTCTGTCCAGAGGCAGAGAATTTGACCAGCACAGCTGGAACAGATCCTAGCTAGATTATTTATTATTGTTAAATATACAATAAATGTGGCACATGGCTGAAGGGGAAGTGGGGAGAGCCTGGTCTTCGCTAACTATCCTAGTCCTAGTTAATCACGACCATGACTCATTCATCCAATACAATTGATCCATTTACCATAAGAACTCATTCATCACCATTCAATCCTACATATATCATAATACCACATACTCACAGGGGAAACTTACAAAACACCCCATGATATAAAAATCTTAAAATGACTAAATGCAAAAATATAAAAAAATTTCATGAAACATGAAATGTGTGGGAGGGAATGAACCCTGGAAATGAACTAAAATTTAACTAAAAACAAACTAAAACAAAACAGATGTTAGTAAGACCTGTCCACCACTCAAAATAATGAGAGTGGCTGCACACTCACTAATGGAGTGGGAAGGGTAAAAAGAAATGACAGAATGGGGGGGGGATCAAAGTCTGACCCAGCTGAGATGAAAAAGGGGTCCAAAAACAATCTGGGGAGGTTGGAAATCTTGACATGGATCATAACAAAAGAGAGTGCCAGGAACAGGCCAGGAGCAACACTTATTCACATTGACTAGAAAAACAAATAGTGTCTGGCTTAACTAGGGGGGGGGTCACAGGAAACTGCCCCGTTGTGACCTAGTGGACTGGAAAAGGGACCTCAATGTTAGCCCCTTTCACACAAACCAAGCTTGCTACTTTCACTGAAATCTGTCAATATCAAGCACTTTCTATCAGTCCTGATCTTCACCTTCAGCTGGTGCTAAAAGAATCTGAATCCCTCCATCCACCACATCCAAATCACCATTCACGCCACAGCTAGCAGCATTAGAAACACCATACGTTTCTCCCCAGAATACAGGGGCAACAGATTATCACGCACATATGCAAGATTGATGAGTATGAGAATATCAGGAGCGATACGAGCCCTCAACTCGCTAATGGCATAATCCCAGAAACAGTGCACCTGCACAATGGTAGAAGGCGTGTGAAACCGTTTCTTCTAAGCCAAAGTCCGCGATGTCAGTCAGGTAAATCCACCCAGCCCCATCTGAAGATCCAGTCATTGAGAGATAGCATGTTCTGAATCACTCGCCAGGTAAGCGAAAACTCAGGGTTGCTGAGGTAATTTGCTGCTGGTGCCCAAGACCAGAAAGAGCGCAACTCGGCCAACAACAATCTGATCCACCCACAGAGAGGATCCTTGTGACCCCCTCTACTAATTCATAATACAAGATCTTTCAAGGCCGTGAAAGGCACTGGACTGTGGAAAGGCCCTCAAGACCATTCGACACTCGCTGAGGGAAGGCATCTCTAATACTCCCCTCCAAAATTGAATCCTCAGTCAAAACGTCGTGTAGGAAAGCCAACCTTGAGGCGTGTCAGTGACTCACCAAGTATGGCATTTCCAGCCCCTCATGACACTGGACACAGCATTCTTTGCGGATCTTCTGCTTGCGGAAATAGGGTGAACAATAAGTATTTGATTGCATTCTGACGGTCCTTGCAAAAAGGATGTACAGCCAAATGGTAAAGGATAAGAGGAAAGACGTAAGCAGCACATGCCTCAGCTCTAAGGACAACCTCCTTCGAAGCCAAGTCGCAACTGACGCTCCGACCTTTGCCTGTACTTTTGACCAATTTTTCTCCAGTCAGTTCCAAACCACACTCCAAGAATGCAGACAGGATCATCTGTCCAGCCAAAAGGCCCCCGGAAGATCAACCCCCTTCCAGGAACCTAACTGCAAGCCAGAAGACTTGTTGCAGTTAATCTTGATCCCTGTGACCTTTTCGTACCATTCAAGTGCCTTCTGTTCCACCTCAATGTTGCTGCTACATGACACGAAAATGGATACGTCATCAGCATATGGGGAAGCCTTGGCTCAAGCTCCACCAGGGACAGCAATTCCATGTAGGGCCAGACTGCTCACCCCATTCCAAAGCATAAAGTAGGGGCAACAGTGAGCAACCTCGACAGACTAACCAAGACAGCACAAAAGTGCGCGACCACTTTCCATCACCTGTACCACAGCACTGCGGGAGCAATACAGGAGAAGAAGTGTTGTTGGAATCCGGTGGCCTGCAAGACAGCAGCTAGGTACCGATGATCAACCCTATCAAATGCCTTGGACTGATCGAAATTGATCAGTGCAGTCTCCTCATTGTCTTTTACACCCTCTAGGATCATGAGGATCAGATGCAGGTTGCTTTGAATTGCTCAGCCCCTTAAAGCACAAGTTTGATCGGGTCCCAACAGACTCTCGGCAACTGACTGCATCAGGATCTTGCCCAAAATCTTTAACTGATGTTTAGCAGAGTTATAGGCCTATAATCATCTAATTCTTGCCCTTTTTCAACAGCATGACCACACCCCTGATGATCCGACTGTGGATGGCCCCCTGCCGAAACCAGTTGTTGAACATGGCAGTCAAAATCAGCACAAAGATGTGCGACAACCTCAAGTACAATTCATAGGGTAAATCTTGCCACTGCTGATCCTCTTCAATATCAAGTAGACTTCGCCTTCCGTGATCTCTCCCTCGCAGCTTCAGTCGGTGCAAGCTGAGGAAAGTCAGCCAAATAGCTGCAAAACTATTGAGACCAGGCTCCTTGGTAAATCGTCTCTCGAAATGCTGCCGAAACACCTCACACATATCATCAGTTGACTTCAGAGTACCCACCTATGGGGTTTTGACCTCACGAATATAACAATTAGAACCTCAACGGATCTCTTCCTTGTGCAATTCTGCGCCCATGTTCACAGCTTCGTTAGGCATCTTGTTTAACCTATGCCTAATTACCTGACCTTCATAGTGCTCGCTAGTTGATCGCTCAAGAGCCTGCCTAGCTAAACTTATCTCACGGCAATATCAGTCCACCCTCGCATCCAGGGTACATTTAACCAGCAAAAAAACACCTTTGCCTGTTGGTCCCCGTATGCTGAATAGACAACAAAGTCGCTAGACAGCACACACACTTTCAACTTCGCAAACAAAGTGTCTCCTGGATCATAGCTCCATCTACGACGAAGGACAGACCCTGGGATATGTTAACTTTAGAGCCCTATATAATGTGGGATGGAGAATAACAGGGACCCTCCAGACACAAAACTTCTGCAATTTCATCAATTCAGGTGATCCCACCATTCTAATGGCTGGGAAGGCCTCCTGAGCCTCCCAAAGGTGGTCCCATACAGTTAATCCCCTCCCCACATCCCTAATCAGTTTTATGACACCTAGGCTTTGGGGAAATTTCTAAGGTCTTCTGCTGATGCCACACCAACCAAAGCCTGCCTGTCTACTTGACATATTTTTTACCCTCTCGGGAACGGCCTCTTTTTTTTTTTTTGAAGTGGTGGGAGTAGAGTCAGAAGAAGGAGTGCTAGATTTAGCTGGAGGAGTGTTGGGAAGTGGAGAAAGTGAAGCCCTAACAGGGGAACAAGAAAGGCTCCTTACTACATTGTCATCCAATTTGTAAGAGAATTGTAAATATGACTAAAATCGGTCATTTTTAGCAATTTCAAAAACTCGTTCCAATCGTTTTAAATTCATTTTGAAATACACCAAAGTATTTTGCTTATTGAAAATATTTAATTTATTATCTTGAAATTAAAACTAGAATAAAACTTCAAGAAAGATTTTTTATTTTTAAAATTCATTTTAAACCTTAGCTTTTCTTTGGAGGATTAAAAATATAATAATAAAGATTTGGATGATAAAATTTGTTTGGAGGATTTTTTCATCGAGTCTGATTTTTTTTTTTTTTTTTTTTTTTTTTTTTGTTAGTGAATCTTAGGAGGTAACTATGAAATCAAAATATCCAGTCACCTAATAAATTGTCAGTGGGAGGGGACTATACAGTGTTCATCTTGATATTTCTCAGGGCTGTGATGTTATTTTGGCATGCCCATCTATTCTACAAATAACGTGACAGATTGTAATGGGTTACATTGTACTGTACCAGTCTAAAGCAGTAATCTCTGACCTGATTTATAAAACTTATTTAACTTCACTTAAAAACACAAATCAGTTATTGTTTTGTTTTTTTACTTAAAAAATAGTAAATAAATTGTCACATTACTAATCTAAGTTTTGTCTGGCATAGAGAAGACCCATTGAAATAGTATACATGACTAGCTTGTGCAATATCACTCAGCATAGCCTGGAACTATTATAGGACAGTATCCTGCTCCTAACCTTAATCCTGAACAACAGATATTCATATCAGTTGGGTATTATAAATTGTCTATCATTTCTACATTATTTACATTATTCAGACTATTGTCCTCATCTTTGTCGTCATATTTATTACAATGTTTTGGCCGTTGTATGCACTGGCCTTCTTAGGTGGTTGGAATGTCAAACTGAACCCTTTATTTCGCTCACTGGGGTAGACTGTTCTAGTTCCATGTGCCATGTTTAATGCATGTCAGTTATCTCCTGTTAATTTCCCTCTGAAAGTTTTCCATTACCTTAACCGGGTATTGAACTCTCACTCTTTGGGTCCTGTCACTGGATCTAACTAACGCCTTTATCCACTGTGCCATGTGTCCTTGAGGACATCTGTGTAATATTAGAGAGAAAAAAAATTAAGGATTCTTTCAAACGAGTAACCTTATCTTTATTGTATTTATCTCAAGGTTTCAGTATCTGTCTAGTGTATAAATTCACTTCCTTTCCTGAACATTAAATTCACTCTCTGAGCAAGGTGTTGAAGATATGGAAAAATCAGTGTAGCAATTAGGAGTTTAAATCTGTAGGAAGCATATCAGAATGGGATAAAAGCCAAGTGTTAAGAAGAACAGGTCCATTTTAAAAAAAAAAAATGGTATTCTTTTCAAAACTCCCTTAAAGTTACTGAATACAACAGATATCTGAGCCACTAAAACTTTGTGATAAAAACGACAAAGACAAGGATGCTAGAAAAAGAATCCGTAAATGTTAACAAAAGCTCACCTTAAAAATTCAAACAGATCATTGATGAAACATTCCTTTGTTTCCAGTAATTTCTTCAAATTTATTAAACAGATAAGAAATAAAGCCATGTATATCTGAATTCCAAAGATGTCTTTTTTTTTTTTTTTTTTTTTTTTTCCCTCTCTTACCAGTCATTGTTGTTTGTCCCCGATTAGCTATCCTGATGACTGACCAGTATTGTGGATGTCATGAACACCAAGTTGCATTCGTGGCTAAGGTCAGCCTGGCTGAGCTGGATGAAAAAAGAAAACAAACTCTGTCCAAGTTGAATAACACTACAGGTAAGCTTAAATGTTTAAAAATTATCTATTATATAAAAATATATATTAAAGTAATAATTAGATAAATTGAAAAAAGGAAAGCCTAACTTAGCTGTAAGAATGCTATTTTTGAGCTGTTTCCATTCTCCATTGGTTAAACAATTTATTGAATGCTATTTTCTTTTTATAAATTGTAAGAAAAATGCTTTAAACTTTTTTGTTTCTTTCTTTACAAACAAACCATACTGCCTATTGGCTCTTGGGTACTTCTCTGAGTGGAAGCAATGCCAGTTTCATCTTCAAATGAATCACTACTGGACTAGTCATTGGGTTATCCTGCGCCTATGCTGCTGGTATCTGAAGAATAATCTTGTGAAGTTGATCTCAGGTCTACTAACAGCTCACTTTTTGTTGAATCACCTCCATCCATGTTCAAGTAGAGAATACGATCCCCGAAAGGGACACAAGTTCATCACATGACTGGGAATGATTGTACTGACTGCAAACTGTTAACCTTGGTTATGCAGCCCATCTTGAACTTGGTTGTACACCTCCCTTGCAGAGTCTTAACCCAGACAATGTCTCCCATCTCGTATGCTCCTCAAGTATTCCATGGTCGAGGCAGAGGCATTACATTAATGCCCAATACACAGACATGATAATTCTGTACCATGTCTGCCGGCACTGTAGATGGTGAGAGGTTATTCTTAGGTGTGACATTATGCCATTAGACTGATGCCTTTTATTAGGCATCACAGATGAAAATTTCAAACAGGTACTAGGTGTTATCTGATTGCATCTTCTTAATCTACATCATTAAAGAAACTTAGCAGTTTTTATTTCATCAAAATATCTCAAACCGTTTAATTTTGGCAGATTTATTTTTATTTTTACAAATGTGCTCGACTTTCTAGAATTTTTTTTTTTTTTTTTTTTTTTTTTTTTTATCTCATTCTTTGAATATGAACATTTTTTGATCAGTCCTATGTTTTTTTCCGTGATTTGAATCTGAGCGTAAAGTAAACAAAACGATTTTTGTTTCATGTTTTTTATGATGAAAGCTGTTTTTAAATCCCATTTGCATTTTACATATAGAAAATTAATATTTAAAACAAATTCTTACTGATTTCCTTGAAAATTTCGTCCATAGAAAACATGCTGGTCGATTTTTGAGTGTCCATGTTGTCGCTGTGTATTGACTGTCCGTGGAGTTGAAATGATGGCTGAGCAAGTTGCACATGATTATACATAATCACACACACACAAAATGGAGCTATTGTTTCATATTTGATTTTGATTTAGTTTCATACATTATTAAATGAGCGTTTTAATGATATATTTTACATAGGTACCTCCAATAATTCGGTATACCCAAGGTTTAAAAGGTATTTTTCATAAATAAAAAATCATTTTTGAAGCTTTCCCCCAGCTTCAATTGAAAGCTAATTGATTAAATTTTCTAATTCCAGAAAACAAAACACTGTACTGTATTTCAACTAGAAATTATAATGATTTTAATCGATTCTTCTGAAAAACTAATCGAAACGGTCATGTTTAACTTTTTTTTTTTTTTTTTTTTTTTTTTAGAGAAATGTAAACAAAAATAACATAGATTTTTGAAATGTTACTTTCGTAAAATTAGCAAATTTAACGTTTAATTAATCTATTTTAAAACAAACATCACTTACACAATGAAATTTCCTAGACAAGCATTTCTTCACCATGGAGTCTTGGTTTTCTCAAGTCTCCATCGATAATTTGATGCCGCATGTGTTGACAGGTTTAGTATGGTGGACCAGAGCTGATAAAATTTTTCGAATTTTAAGTAAGAATTGTTTGCTATTGTTTTTTTTTAACTACTAAGTAATGTTTAAAATTTAAAATATTTTAAGCAATTATCTAATATTTTACTGATTTTTAACTAATTTTGAAGATGCTTTCTTATAATAATTTAAAAATAAAATGCTATAAAAATTTTTAAAATTGTGTAGTTACCTCTATAATGGTAGATAATTATGATAAATAATTTTATTAATTACTATATTATCAGTTATTACATTTTTAATTAACTGAGATGTAATTATTATTATATTAATTATAAATTATATTATTAATTATTATATTAATATTTATCTTAAATCATTAATAATAATTAATAATAAAATTATTAATTATTATAACATCTATCTCACTCAGTTATTACATTTTTACAACTGAAATATAATTTTATTAATATTATCTCAATAATTCACTTTTTAATTTAATAACTGAGATATAATTAATAAAAATAATTATGTTATCACAAATGATAGAGATAACACTATACTTTAAAATTTATAGTATTTAATATTTATATTTTTTAAGATCCTATTTTTTCATTTTATTCTTTATTATATTTTGATGTTTATGAATTGTTTAAGTTATTTTATTTATTAAATTTTTAAAGTACTTAAATTTTTATTACTTAGATAATTGAACACTTATTTTACTTATGTCAAGTGCTTTCCCTTAGGGGGAGACAAGCCTTGAAACACATGACCTTTTAACCATAATATCACTTGCGAGACACCATACCAAGAAATAAAAATAAACTTGATGCACAAAAAAAATAACTTTTATTATGGTAAAAAGTTTTGGTAGCATTATTTGTATTAAGCTTTTAATTTTCGCTTAGCAAATATAGTCTTCACTTAAAAACCTAATAACCGACCAAATGTGCTGCATGAGAGAATTTTAAAACATTTTTGAAAATTAAAGAAAAAAAAATGAAAAAAAAGAAAAGAAAAATGCAAACAATTGTTGTAAAAATTCTATATTCATTGAAATTTTTTTTTTTCTTCAGATAATAATGTCCTTAATGTATATTATTTATAAAAGCAAATAAAAACATATTTTATTTGATAATTAGATAGGTTATTGCAGTTTTTATTTTTACGATTTGGAGCAGATTTTTTTAAAAAAAAATGAAATTAGTTGTGAAAAACAAAATTGGTTATTTAATTTCTCCAAGGAGTCCTGCTTATAAGTAAAAATAGAAAGTTTACAAACTTTTTGAAATTCTATAAAATTTCATAAAATTAAATTTGGGGGTAGTAACAGATGTAAAAAAAAAAAAATTACAATTACCAAGATTTTCTAAAAATAAAAATTTCAAAAATAAATTCATTCATTTTTGAATAAGTTCTGAAAGTTTCATCTTAATTAGACAATTATTTGATTTTTTGCAATAATTTCAAAATTAATGGGTTCTCCCCCGAAATTGCTACACTAAAAAAAGCGATGACCACAAGTCATACGGTTTTAAAAAAAAAAAAAGAAAAGAAAAAAAGAGATGTTTGGCCCAAATTTAAAACATGTTAGAAAGAAGAGAAAAATTAAAAAAAAATATTTTAAAAATACTTTGTTCTTTCCTCTTAAGAATAACATATACATTTTAATGATGAAACTTTGTTTTTATTAAGTTTTGGACCTGTTATCATTATGCTATACTGACATTTTGCGAATTTTTGGAGGTACCTAATTTTATGTGTTTTTATTTTTACAAGAAGCATTTGAATTTTACGATCAAACTTTTCATTCGAATTGTTTACAAACTTATTAAAATTAAAAAATATAAAATATATGAAAACGAAGCTTTCGAACTAACGTGTTACCAAAATTGTAATAAACCCTGTGGAGTGCCCATATTACAAAATTTGGGGAAGTCTAAATTGACGTCAGTAAAAAAAAATGGCGAAAATTTTGCAAAATCACCAAAATGTCTCTATTTTCAAACTGTAATGTTCCTCGCACACTGTAGTACATATAAAAATAAATAAGATAAAAACAATGTTCATGAAATAAGCTTTTATTTGGTATGCATTGTTTTTATGGCAAGTTGAATATATGCCTTATTTAGTATTTAGTTAAGAATTTCATTAGCTGTAAGTTGAGTGCTGGGATACCTACTTTTATCATTGTGGCAAGTTCTGCTAAATTAATATGCTTAACATCCCTCTGCTGGGTGCAACAAAACAAGCATCCCCAACAATGCCTCTTTATGCTGTACAGCTCACATACCAACTTGACATTCTCAGTCCACTCCACTAAATTCAGCAAATAAGAAATTACAAACACTATGATTTATCATCTAAATATTTCATGTAGATTGGGACAGAATCTCTCTCAGCTAAGTATAGGAAACAGGTCAGATTTAAATGCCCTTGCCATATGGTGTTTAAACTCGCTTCAACTTTTTTCTGCTATGAAGTTTTAACTCAGTCAAAAATATTTTATGTCTTGAAACTTTGCATAGAAGATTATTGAAAACTAAAAAATTATTTTTATAAATCGGTATCTCAAAGTAAAATTTTGTTTTCACTATATCTGTAAGTCTAATACAGATATAGAGACCTTGGCAAAACATAAAAAATGATACTAAATTTATCTTGGTAGTTCGGTTAGCAACAAAGTTAATAACCATTCAAGATTGCTCAATTTTCCATCTTGTGTGCTATTGTACCAGAATTCAATTTCAACTGGAGATACAGTCTTCAGACTAGTTAAAAATCATTATAAATGTAATGTATAGGTTGTCTAGAAGTAAAAGAAATATAATACTAATGGAATCAATAATTATTACATCAAACCAGAGTAATCTTCAGGAAAAATTGCATTCTCAAAAATGAAATAGCTAAGACATGACAGAAAAGGTCACATTTGATTGTTCATCTAAGTTTCATTTCAACAGTTAATGCCTTGCAACTTCTTGCTATGATTCATAGCACAACAGAGATGAAGCTAATTATATATATATATTTTTTTTTTGTCTGTCGTACATCATTAAATCAAAATGCATATTTATACCATGTAAAAACAACCTGAAGCACAATTTGACCATTGGGCAAAAACAGGTCAAAAGTATACCATACTGAACCTGCCATGAAAAAAAATATCCATTGGAGGTACATTTTCTCATTTAATTTTAGAAATTATGCAATTTGTAATTTGTCATAAAAGAGGGCAGTAATGACTACAAAATT